ATTTTCAGTTTTGCTAATTTGATCATAAACATTTTGACGATTTGCCAGACGCTCAGTGTCCGTATCAGTGATTTTCAGTCAAAATTGGTTGGAATGACTGTATTGGCAAATCGTTAAAAAATTTATGACTAAATTGGTAAAATTGAAAAGTTCGGGACTAAATTGGCCTCCGTACAATATGTTTACAACTTTTTGGGCAATTTTTAAAAAGCCATGAGTAGCAACAAACTCTATATTTGAAACATCGCATTCGATCATCATGCTTGAGTAGAGTATCAACATCTAAATGTTCGAGTCTATTCCGCCACGGATAGTAAATTGCATCGACTCGATTAAATAAAATTCACCTGACAAGCCTTTTCACTTTTAGTATTTTGTCCATGCTTATTGTCCCTCCCTTCTATTTAAGTAGCTGCATGGTTGAAACGTGCGTAGGAGTAAACCTATTAAATGGATGGGTCGGGTCGGGTCGAAAATAGTCCGACCCAAATAGATCCATCTAATCCGTTTTGACCAATTTTCATGTAATGCAAATCTAATGATCCATACCCGACTCAATCCATATCCGTTTCGCTTCATATTGCTAAAACACTTCCATTTTAACTCAATCTAGGAAAACCCACTCGAAGTGCAAGATAAAGTGAGGGCAAGAGAGATGAACTGGGTTTAAATATGTTATAAACTCATTTACGATCAATTTAACACCTACATTATGTTTATACCCATTTATAACATATTTAGTGAATATAACTAACTCATTTATGACCCATTTACTGATATATGATTTAAGAAATGGATTTATGACCTATTTTGACAGGTCTACGTGAGAGTCAGCTTAATTTCTAGCTTTATCATCTACCTTTGGTATTATGTCTCATGTATTTGGACCTCAGCTTGCTTAAAATGCAATAGCAATTATGGATAAGAAAAGAAAAAGAAAAGGCATATCACATCTGAGACCCTATAAAGTGATCCATCGTGGAAGTCTTTGCCCGTGTCAAAATTTGGGTGAGGAATATGTGTTTATGTATTGAATTTGACCACCAATTATTCAATCGGTTATGAACTTATTGTACGGTCATTTCTAAACTTTTTAATTTTACCAATTTAGCTCTAAACATTTGTGCAAAATTTCAATATAGTAATTTTCGGTCAATTTTTATTGTAACGCGACGGTGTGCCACATAGGACCGACGGCGATGACTGGACCGCCAGATCAGCGTTTTCCAACAAAAATTGATCGAAATGATCACGTTGAAATTTTACGCAAAGTTTAAGATTGAATTGGCATTGGTACGATATGTTTAGGACCGATTGGCCAATTTTCCCTCATGTGGGGTGATGTTAGACGGTCATTATTAAATGTCCTAAATATTAATTTGTTTTAAAGTCGTGACAATTCATATCGTTATTGAATTTGTTTGCATTTGCTTTCAATCATGTGCAAAGTTTATGTCTTTTCGTGTTAAAAATGGACAACCTTACTCAAAAAGTGACCACTAACAAGGGCGATCGAGTGCTTGAACAGGAAAAGAACATATAATCAATATCACGAGCATGATTGTGTAAGCTAAGTCGATAAGTGGAGGTCTTGTCTTCATAATGAACTTTGATTGCTTATGCTATTGTTCAGACAAGGAAGGTAATTAAGCAAAATTACGTCAAGTTAAACAGAAGTAGATGATATCGCTTAAGTATAATCATGACGAAGATGATTTTGGGGACATAATGTCGTTCTTTTTCGGGAAAAAACCACCAAAAATCCCAAACTTTGCCATCTGTGACACATTTACCCCGAACTTTTTTTTGTGACACCAAAAATCCCGAACTTTGCTTTTGTGACACATTTACCCCAATGTATTTAGTCCATGGGCATTTTCGTCTTTTCTGCTTTTTCTTTTCTTTTTCTTTTTTTTTTTTTTTCCTTTCCGGCGAGGGGCCTCGCGGCGTCGGGCGAGGGCGCCCTCGCCGGATCCGGCGAGGGGGCCCTCGTCGGCGCCGAGCGAGGGCGGCCTCGCCGGATCCGGCGAGGGCGGCCTCGCCGGCACCGGCGAGGGCGCCCTCGCCGCCGGCTCGGCGAGGTTCGCCCTCGCCGGGCGGACCTCGCCGCGCCGGCGAGGGTCGCCTCGCCGGCGGACCTCGCCGACGCCGGCGAGGTCGCCTCGCGCGGGCGGGCGGCGAGGCGCCCTCGCCCAGGCGAGCGAGGTCGCCCTCGCCGGGAGCGACCCCGCCGGCGAGGGTCGACCTCGCCTCGAGTCGGGCGAGGGCCGACCTCGCCGCCCAGCGAGGGCGACCCTCGCCGGCATCGGCAAGGTTCGCCCTCGCCCGGGCGAGCGAGGGCCGCCCCGCCCAATCTGGGCGAGGTCGACCCCGCCGGCCTCGGGCGAGGGTCGACCTCGCTCGAGTCGGGCGAGGGCCGCCCTCGGCCGGCCCGGGCGAGGGCGACCCTCGCCGGCGTCGGGCGAGGTCCGCCTCGCTGGGCCGGCGAGGGCGGCCCTCGCCGGCTCGGGCGAGGTCGACCTCGCCGGACGCGGCGAGGGTCGACCTCGCCTCGAGTCGAGCGAGGGCCGCCCTCGCCCTTTCCGGCGAGGGGGGACCTCGCCGGATCCGGCGAGGGCAGCCCTCGCCCAACGCCGGCGAGGTGCCCCCTTGCCGGAAAGGGCAAAAAAAGAAAAAAAAAAGAAAAAGCAAAAAAGACGAAAATGCCCATGGACTAAATACATTGGGGTAAATGTGTCACAAAAAGCAAAGTTCGGGATTTTTGGTGTCACAAAAAAAAGTTCGGGATAAATGTGTCACAGATGGCAAAGTTTGGGGTTTTTGGTGGTTTTTTCCCTTCTTTTTCTCGACAATGCAATCTCTTTTTAGTTTTAGCTTTCTTTGGTAGGCAAAAAGATGTTTTCCATGAGCTGCACTAACTGTGTATAGAGTTGCTTTGTTATTGTTACTCTCATTTGTTCATACTTTGCCCTTACGTTGCACATGAGGATTGAGATTATTGAAACTTATCCTTATCTAAATTTAGGTAAATTTACCTTCCTAAAATTTGGACACGTTATCTATCGAGCCTATGGATGGCCCCGATCTACTATCCCTACCCCTACTAGACTTGATTTTGTCTGCAAACTGAAGATGGAGCATCACCAACCCACTCTCGGCCGCGACCTTTGATGCAGACCACCACTAGACCCGCCGTGCTAGTGGGATCTTGCTGGGCTCACCATCGGCCACTCCCCGAGCCCCAAGTCCCAATTGCCCTCTCAATCTTGCTCTGCTCCCTCCGGCCTGTTGTAGGTTGGGTCATGGCTCGTAATGCCAGATCTGACATCGCGGAGCCTAGACCCGACCTCGCCGGGCCGGGGCGACACCCACTTGGTGGCTCGGCTAGCCCCCCACATCCCTTTGCAACCGTCCACCTAGGGGATGAGAGAGGGGCAATGTGGTTGCTTGGCGAGCTCAAAGGTAGTGACAAAAAGGTACAGTTTTAATGGGACAACATTCGAGCTACGACGATGATGAAGACGCGGCTCATGGTGGCTCGGCTGGCCAAGCATGGCTCAATCAATTGGGAAGTTGGAGAGAGAGGTGGAAAAAAAATTGGAGTGTTATTTTTTTTTTTTGGCATATGGGGCTTGGTGTGTTAGTTCTTCAACTGAGTGAGCATATTTTAAAACAAAAGATAAATTCATCACGTAAAGTAATCTTGTCACATCAAAAAGAGAAGTGTAATTTAATTTACTCCCTAATCAACCAAAAAGAAAAGGGAAGATATTCCATGTTCGACATCCTTTTACTACCATCCTAAGAAAGGTATCTTAAATATTAATATAAGGCAAGAGCAACGTTTCATAATCATAATCTCTTGAAATTAGGGTTCTGACTGGCGGTCTTGAGAAGTAGTTTGGAGAAATAAAAAGGTTGCGGAAAAAGAGTATATAAATCAAGAAGGAAGGGTCCACTTCCATCTTGTCTTTTTGACTGAAACAGAGAAAAGTGCCATCTAACATTTCCACCAACCACCCAATTCTCTGTTCAATCTAATAATCAGGAAGATTGGTTGCTACCAATCGCAACTTCAAGCCATGATAAAGAAGCAACCACCGGCTGGTTGGCTTTCAGCTTGCACTTGCTGTTAGATCATAAATGATGTTGATGTCCTGACCGTGTATCATTTATAGTGTCAGGACGCACAACAGTACTCGATATTTTCAATTGAGAAAATCACCAAGAGAAAGTTCAACTTTAAGCTCGTCGATACATCTAATTGGACTCACCTTCAGTCAAAAGTTAAGGTCAACGAGTGATGGACCAATTAGGATCTATATTAGTTGTTTCGCATCACAATGCATCCCAGATGCGAGACTTATTTCAGCAAACATCCTCACACATATACCAAGAGGTCATATGAGAGAAACCAAGGGGTCTCAATGGCAGAAAACGAAGTTTCACCACTATAGTTGCTATTGCTTTTATATTTGCAACCTTCAAAGAAAGCAATTAGAGATGGAACCAAAATTAGATCACGGAGAAGATGCTTTGAAATCTGGGTCAAGATTTGAAGTAACCATGGATCTACTCACCTTCGATGCACCTACCAAGCTACCACCCAGAAAATGCCAACCAACACCGGACAAAGTATACATCATAAGAACTTTATAGACAGAAAAGGGTCAACATAACATTGATGATCAACTCCGGGAAAGTTCCCTGATGACCTTATGGAATTCTAGTCTGAAGATGTCTGACTGACTCGCCAATCGCTGTCGATTGCAAGGTGTAAAATAAGGAGGGCGGCATGGTAATGCGCCGACTATTGATTTAGGGCCATACGACAGCGCCATCGGTAGAAGTGAAGGGTCCACCGCAATGCACCGTCTGTTTTTTTGCCACTCGTTTTTCGCATGCTGCAAATGCTGGTTCACAAAAGTCCCACTTCCGTAGTAGTTGACATTCAGACTTCCATTGGCTGAGGCTTACGCGCACTGTATCGTTCGGTCATGCGCGATTTTTATTTGCCGACCATTTGCAATGTCCTTGTTCTCACATGGATGATGATGATGGGTGAGACGAAGGTGAAGCTCGTCCTAGGACGGTTTTGGTCCAACGTCGGAAGCCCAACAGGGGCATTTGATCTTGGGCCGTGAATGCGAAGAGAAGGATCCGAATCAAGTCATCTTGGGCCAAATTCTAAAGAGGACAACACTTTCAAGATGCAGCAATAACAACTGCGGCTTCACATCCCCACGGTACGCGACTAACGAGAACATTTCAGGTACTTCGTCACGTCTTCTTCGCTCTTTGCGTCTTGCCCCTGTTTCTGCTTGCTTGTTGTTGCCCGCTTCTTTTATCCCGCGAGCGATCTTCTGGCATTTACGTATTGTCAGCTCCCACAAACCGTGTGCTTGTTTGGGTGTCCTCGATTCTTTTATGTCGCGCTTGTTTACAATGAACGAATGTTTGCACGGTAGCTGTTTGACGAAATGCTTATTTGCGCGCGGCCTCCCTCTCTAAATTTGTTTCGAAAGTGGGTTCAATTTTAAGTCTTCGTTCGCGCTGACCGTGGGTTCTATTGATCACTTCGTGCTTGTATTTCATCATCAGAATGCAGGGATTTTGACTAAAAGCTCGTCAAAATCGTGGGGACAATCTGAAACCTTGGGATTAACTTACGGTTGACTGATAGGCCAGGGAGTATGTGTATAGGTAGCACATTTCCTTGTTATAATGGCCATCGGTATAAGTCTGTTGATTGATGAGCATATAGTTTTCAAGAAGCGAAGCTCTTGTTTTGCTCATACCAGAGACTTGCAGTCACTGACTACTCTAGGATATAATAATGTAGCTGAGACTTGGGGTTGGTGGCTTGAAGAGCTGAATGCTTTAGCAAGTGGGTGGGGCTTTGGGTTGAAATTTGTTGGTGTGATTTCCGTGTGAGTTTGTAATGATGGATGGCGTGATCTCTGATGTTAAACTTATTCCTTTGACACTTTATACATATCCTACACTAATAACACAAGCACCCAGGTGTTCTATTTCCTACTTTTTATGCGACATATCGATCTCTTGATTCTTGAACTTATAGTGATGAAATCTCCCTCATAAGAACATAATAACTTATTGTGGACTCATTGTGATGCAGCATTTGAGGCCTTCAACACAACAATTAGGAAGAAAAATTGAAGCCACTGGAAGGTGGATCTGGTTCATTTAAAACTTAAATGGGTGAACATTCAGTTTTTGATAGGATGATGTGTAATCTTCGTGCAACATGCAAGTATGGACATCATCCTCTCTCTTTACATCATTCTCTACATTTGGATATTGAGTCTATGAGAAATTAATAATGCACTATTTCGCATATTTGCGAAACCTCCAATAGAGACACCCTCAATTTAAACCCCACTTGGCAGCGGTTTTCTATCTAAGCATATTTTGTATGTGCTATATCTATTTAGCGAGCATTCTTTTTATTTAAGAATGGTGACAGTGAAGAACTAGATAATCTTGATAATGGCGCTTGACATAATGAAGACTTACGGTTAAAAGTTTTCAGAGCGTAAATGCTCAAGCAGGATTATGATTTTTCAGCACCATTTTTTCACGCCTGGCCTTTGAAACTCCTTTCTGATCAAACATCTTGTCGATGGATCTCATTATCGGTTCTTATTTTTCTATAACAAAACTTCCATAGATACTATACTGGTTATCCAAAGGATCTTGGACCGTCACGTTTGATACATTTTACGTCAGAACGTGAGTTTGTGCAATGTCTTCATCAAGGCCATCCGGTGGTTGTGGCATTCACAATCAGGTATCTTGTTATTTCTGCCTCTTTCATTTTTCTCCTCCTCGACATTTTTCCCCCATGGTTGTGACCATACAGATAATACAGAGGTAATTACACAAAGCATCTGGACAAAGTACTGGAGGAAGCAGCTGTTAATTTTCATCCTCATGTGAAATTTATGAGGGTAAGACAGTTTTTAACTTATGAGCAGTGAACATGTTAGCAAATAGGTCAATTTTGTAATGTTTCCTTTAGTTGGCTGCTCTACATTAATATAGATACTGTTTCTTTGGAACTTTTGATGTTCCAGCTTTCCTTGGTTGTTCAGTGCCAGTTTTTGGAAATTAGTCTTTATGATGAAGAATTAGCTTGATATGCATCTGTTTCTTGTGCACACTTTTCAGGTGGAGTGTCCAAAATTTCCTGGGTTCTGTATATCACGGCAGAAGAAGGAATATCCATTTATTGAGATATTTCATAGTCCTGAACAGGCAAGAGGAATATTACTTTGTCACATAAATTTGTCATTTTTCTATCTCATTTCTACTGCATTATTGCCGCCTCTCTACTTGGGTTTTTTATGTGTTATTTTCTCCTTGTTAAGATGGAGAAATATTTCAAAACCGAGACCACTCAATGAGCACCTTTTATCCGGAAGTTTTCAGAAGCATTGGTGATCATGTTGGGATTACTCATTCACCCAGGATCGCTACATTATCCATAAAACTTGGACCCTTTTTTTTCTTTTTTCCGTTTTCCTTTGTTCGTTTCCAAAAAAATGTATATTTTTGTTTGCAATGCACAACTGAAACTGCAATATGCAGATGGGGCTCACATATTTCACTATCAACTGAAACTGCTTCTTGATGTTTTGGTGAAGCAGGCTTCTAATCAGGGAAGAATTGCTGATCCTAATATTACAAAGTACTCTGTCAAGGTTCTACCCGTAAGTTTGAAGTTTGTTTGAGGTGTAACATAAGTGAAGTGATGGGTTGCTTAAGTTGATGTCATGCATATTGCTTTTATAATTAAATTACAGTTAGGACAACCTTTCACTTATAGCATATTAGCTTTTCATCCACTACATTTTCAGAATAAAATGGAAACCACTTGGAATAAGTGAGTGTCAAACCTGCTCGTAGTTGGGCTAGTGGATGTGGTCTCCAAATGCTTAGAAACTTCGAAAGAATCTGGTTGTCATAATATCGTCTTTTGCCTTTGCTTTAAGTGTTTCCTGATTCTATCCTTCTCCTTTTCTTCTTCCCAGTTCAATTATGACCAAAGTGTGTACGGGTTCAGAGAATATTTCAAGCGCCATGGAATAAAGTCATCAGATCCCGTTTAAACGAGTATGGGGCAACTTAGGTAATCAAGGCAGCCAGTCCACTTGTAGAGAATGATTAAACTTTCTGTACATTTTGGGTGCTCCCCCTTGTGTTCGTGACTTAGCCATATCTGAAGCACGATGAATCTATTGATAAATACTTCAAATTCTCTGGTTATACTGTTTAGTCCTAGTTAACAGGCTATTAAGTTCAGATCTTTAAATGATTGCGTAAACAGTGCACTGTGGCATTGAATATTATTGTCAAGGAATGTGGAAGCGACATGCTTAAGCTTTTGGTTGGGTTATTTGACAGAAATTCAGACTTTTGAATGAGAAACAGGGTTTTTTTTCCCTCGTGTGTTTCCCCATTTAAGTAGCTGAAGGAACCCAGGGGCAATAAGTCTTACCAATTTTGTTATGTAGGATGAAAATTTCCTTCCACTACCATAAGTAGCTAAACAACCCCACCAAAGGTCTAAGAAGATTGTGGGTGGTACGCTGAAATTCTGGTCTTTAAACTAATTTGTTGCAACCGTTTTGCATTCCAGTTATGAAATGTCGGTTTCTTTTTCTTGTTTTAGTTCACAAATTCAATTCGTATTAGGAAAAATCAATCTAGATAACCTTGCATGGACCATGCTGTGAGGTTCAGTGGTTGGCAAGTTTGGAAATTGAGCTATGGAACTCACTGTCATCACTTCACTGCGGCAGTTGTGGTTGATTAGAACTTAGGTTGTACTGAAGCCCTTAAAGTTGTTGTGGTTGATTGGAACTTAAGCTTTACGGCAAGGCCTACCATTTTGAGCATATTACCATGCTAACAGTTGTATCACAGTGGCTAAATCTGGTTGGCATGCTGTCTGGTTTTGCACTTCAATTTCCACCAGCTAAAAACTGTTAATGATGTTATCCATTCTGGGCCAGCGATGCTAAGAAATAATTGCATCTACCACCACCAACCAATGGATAAAGAGAAGTCGACCAAAACACTGAAATGCCAAAGTAGATACAATAGTTTCTTTTTTACTTTATCTTTCGCCATATATGTAAGAGTTCATGGCATATTTAGCAAGAGTTCTTTCAGTCCTAGAAGGAATCACATGATGTAACTTTACATTACGCAAAACATCATATTGGTCTTATCAAAAGATGACTATCTTCAACAACCCCGATTTTTTTTTTTGGTCGAAACAATCCTGATTTCACTTGAGAATCAATAACCTCTCATGCAGCTTTTTGTACACGTCTTAGGTATCAGCAACTTTGATGTGACATCATATCGTGATCATAGCTAAATCCACCAGTAAACCAGCAATCCTCGCTTTTCTGTAATAATGTACACACACGAAAGTGCGAGCTAACATTGGCCAAAGATGAAAGCTGGGGTATGATGTATACTCTATACACCTAAAATCTCTATAAGCAAGACTTAAAGGCAACTCGAGGGTCAAAAGTGAACAAATCCATGATTTTGTGTCCCAAACTTTTGTTTCTGTTCTAACTGTACTAATAATTCAACTCCAATTTCTTTCCCCAAGCGAGAGTTCATTGTCACGTGCCGCATCATCACACGACTGTCTACTGTCGGGAGTACTTCTCCTGCAAATCCGATTCGCTTCTCCTATTAAATGACCTCTCTCCAATGGTATCCAAAACTGGCCTCCATGATTTAGCACCTACGGACCTCTGAGTCTGCCCTGCCACTGCGGCATCTGCACTGAATAACCTCGTCGGGCTCCGGCCCGGCGAACTAGAAGACGCACTCGAACTCCATGATGGACCCGAAGTCAAATTCCGACCGGGCGAGTTCCACATTGGACTAGGATCGATGCTCTGAGCTGGAGAACTCTGCCCAGGACTAGCGCCATTCAGTCTCCCTGGGCTAGCTTTTGCTTTCACCATGAGTTTCCTCGCCAATGCAGACAAGTCCATGGGAGACAGGTCGGCCTGAAGAGCGGAGTAGGGAAGCAAGAAGTAGATGCGGCCTGGCTCGAGCGCGACGTGCGGCTTCATGGGCTTCGACCCGGCCGAGATGAGCTGAGCCGGGGTGCACAAGAAATGCTCGGGCGGCTTGCCCGTGACCTCACCCACCGTGATGGGCTCCTCAAAGTCTTCAACGTAGCCATTCCAATGCACCACCCGGACGCTCTTTTTCTTGCACGTAGGTAATTTTACTGATGATGATCCGCATGGAGCGCAATTACCCATAATCTCTCCTTGATTGCTACGTTACCCTTCAATCAAATTTGCTGAGAGAAGAAACAAGAGATGAACGTGGGATTCATTGGAATTAGAAAATGAGGAGCGGTGTTTTAATAACATGAACATGCGTGCCCGGCCAAGTTGCTGATGGCTACTTGCAAGGAGATAAAGACAGAAAAGAGGGCTTCTTCTTGTGTTGTGACATTTATGTTTTGTGCATTATGGAATTGCCTGAAGAGTAGACTTTGTGGGAGTTGCATAGGCGATATCAGTGGGACGGCTTTTATGCGGGGCCAAGGGCTGGTCGCTGGCCAACTACTTGAGTAAATGTCGTTGGAGGTTAGTTCCAAATCTGCGGGACAAGTGTCTGCTATTGATTTCTTCTCCCATTGGCAAAGCCGTAGTGTGCACCATAATGCAGGCTCGATCTACTTCGCGGTTCACATTTGAAGTTGGTCATGTTATTTGACAAAGTCGTTCTCTATCCTGCCTTTGAGCATTTCTATATTCCAAATTGTTCTCAATATGGTCACCAATTGGAGGACCACATCAGATCACATTTAAAAAGGTATGCAACTTTCTCACGTTTTTATAATGCCTATCACATCATATGGTGGCAAGCCTAAGAAGCGGAACTGGGCGTACCTCATTTTTGCTTTCGGCAAATTGGATCTATGAGATTTTATGAGATCATTGTCAACTGTTCTAAAAATTTAAACTTTTAGACGAATGCATGGTTTGATATTTAAAATTTTTAATAATCCATGTTAGGCGTAGGCTGGATTTCAGCCTAAACTTGAAAATATATAATTGGAGAAGCAAATATGGGCTTGAAAGATTTGAACCGAGTATCTCTTGATCCTATATTATGTGAGATTATGTGAGGTTATTGTCAACTATTCCGAAAACTTAAATGTCATCGTTCAAAATTCTCGTGCACAAAAAGAAAACTACAAAAAAGCATCGGCCATCTCTCACATGCTCCATTATATCGATGGTAAAGAATTTGAGTCTTCATAAATGGACAGCATGCCGGTTACTGCGAAACAGAAAGGACTTCATCCCGACAACTCATCGTTGTTACGTTGCGACTGCAAGAAGCTAAAAACCATGAAGGTTGTGTCAAGTTGTGTCGGCTGATGCGACCCACTATTTCCTTTGTAGAAGACGATGCCGATTCTACTCGGAAACCATGGTTTTTACTTTCGGGTTTCGTTCGTGTCATCAACAGTGTCCATCCAACTTGTTTATGGCGCCCCATCAATTAATATCTCCACCCATAAGCTGTTGTGATTATCTTTACCCTTTGTCGGTTTCTTGATCTGGTAAACTCTCAAGTGGGAAAGCATGGCAACCAGCTCGTTGGTGATTGGAGGGCCATGGAGTTTTTGTATAGAATTTTTAGGTCATGAGGCATTCTTGGCCCACTTGGGGGGAAACCAATTTCAGGAAATGGAAAAGAAAGAAATTATTTAAGGGGTCGTTCGTTATCACATTATGGAAAATGATAAAAGAAAAATATCCATTCAATCTGATCAGAAGACAAACTTTAATTCTTATTACGCTTTTCATACGGGGCAGCTCTCAAAAGGACTTCATTAGTGCTTATACAAGGTGTTATACTGATTGTCAGATTACAACCCAGTCAAATTGTTTGCACTTTGTCGAAGTTTTCATTGAGAAACAAGAATGATGATACCTTGTCGGTGAAAACAAGATACATGATTGTGTAAACGTGTTAGTCTTTTACGAGGTATGCTTGTCGTTTCTACCTTTTACCTATTATTAATAGGTGAACCTCCTAGTGAAAAGTTGCATTTATTTATCTGATGAAATTAGCTACCGTTGATTTCTAATTTCCATATTTGAGTTGCATTTAATACTGGACAAACGGGGACGTTCATCCTGGTCCAAACATGAATTAGTGATGGTTTCTTCTTGGTGGTGGGAGATAAGTTTCTCCCTCAGAAAGTCATTTTACTCTAGAGATCGAATGCAGTATCAATTATTACTAAATAATAGCTTATGTTTACAACATAAATCACGAAATAGCACTCACTCGATCCAGAGGGTCACAATCTATCCTTTCAATGAAGAGCTTCTTTTCTAGAGTGTCATACCCGATATTATGGTACTGTTGTGCTAACACTCCAATTAGAGACAATCCCTGAAGTCTGAGATCCGATTCAACCACTGTCATGCAAAACATATTTGGCTTCACTTGGAGGAACATGTCGTTGATGTCCAGGACTAGTTCGGCCCCGTCGAAATGAAACTTCACGACTGGAAACTGTTGTAGATCCTTCTGCATGGTCCCCACATAGCATAAGAACTCCGGATCATGCCCGTATTTCTCCCGACGAAGGCGTGGGTCCAGCAATCTTTGAACTTCATTATGCAGTGGGACATACCCATGTCCGTTCAGCCATGTCAGTCCTGATTCTGAGTCTAAAGTAACTCCGCCATGTCCCCAAGGGTCCCTTTTGACTGCTCCGGGATCGATCTTTAGCCTTGTCTCTCCGACGCTTATGTCTTGGAGGTTCACGTAATACTGACCCCCATACATGTCGAGGGTTGTGGAATTGCCTTCGAGCACTGAATCATCCCCGAGGACCAATTGATTATACTGATACTGTGGGTCATGTATGTCGCCTATGCAGATGGAAAATTTCGAAACTACCTGTGGAATAAGAGATGAGTAATAATGGTAACTTAACCCTAATATGCCAGTTCCTTGCCCATCAACGCTGCCACTATTCTCATGACCGCACCCGATCACTCTAATTGGTATTACCATTGTTCCCTCATCAGATGTCTCGAAAGTCATTTTTTCAGATGCAAGGTTACCGCGTGTGCCGGTTCCGTCAACATATGTATAACTGTAAGTACAATATTCTTTATTGCGATCACACTCGCCTGTAGAGAGATCACATGCAGTGGAGTTGCAACGTATGTTGGAGTACGATGAGGATTTGGCGGGATCGAAGAGAGGTAGAGATTGTTTAAAGAAGGAGATGCAAGGTATGCACTGAAACCATAAGAGGCTGCTTCCAGTGTCGATGAGTAAGAGCTGTGGTGCTGGTGGTGTGCCGATGGATATTTTCACGAGGAACGTGACTCCTCTGGTATCGGCAATAAGATTGGCACGGAAAGCGTAGTCATGTGGACCAGCAACTCGTTTGCTCAAGGAGCGAATGCGCGCAATTGAAGCATTAATGGCACGTTCAACTAAATCATAAGCGGTGGCGTTCAGGTTGTAATGAGGAGAATGAATGGAATCTGGGTGGATAAGTGTCATGGCCAATCGCGGAGGTTTCATGGGGTTTGTCTTGGAAGCACCATCAGTTAAGGATGATGATGAGACGATATTGATTACACAAACCAGAAGGACAACACCACGGGGCGATAATGTCAGTTTAAGAGCCATTTGGCAGATTCCGCCTCTCTTAAACGAGGTTTACCCCGGTGGCCACCCTTCTCACTTGAGAAAAAGGAGGTGGGGAGTTCGAATCCCCACCTTTGCAGGGGGTAGGGGTGGGGCCGCGTAGTTTAAGATGTGGGTTTCGACGCTCACGCCCTGCAATAGATGGGGCGTAAGTCTGAGTGTGTATCGTGAGTGAGAGATAGAATAGGACCGACCAAAAAAAAAAAAAAACGAGGTTGAAATGATATTGACAGAGCAGGTCTTGCTTTATATATGTGTGCTTAATGGAATTGCAATTAATTTATGGGTCCATTTGTGGCAAATTGTTAAATGAGGACCCTAGCATTACTCCTTTCTTTCTTCTTGATATTCGTTGCATTGGCATTAACTCAATTGTCCATCCAAATAAGAAGCGGATTACCAAAAAACTTCTAAACCTATTATATGGATGTAAATTCAGTTTTAAACTTTTCAATTTGACAAATTTAATACTAAACTTTTTAACAATTTGCCAGTGTAGCCCTTTTGGCTAATTTTGGCCGGAAATCATTGGCATGGATATTGGCCGTTTTATGTAACACGAATAGCGCTTATGTAAATGATTTTTGCAATTTTTACAAGAAGTTTCTAAATTTTTTTCTTTTTTTCCTTTCCTTTTTCTATTTCCCTTTGCTGGTCGCCGGGGCCTCGGCCAGCACCGGCGAGGGCTGGGACGCTTGCCAGACGCGAATGAGGGTGGCCCTCGCCAGATCCGGCGATTCAATGAAGAAGGAAGAACAAGACAGCAAACTACGCTCGTGAGACTTGTTCCCTGTTTTGCTTGCCAACTTGTAACTCCAGAGTTCTAGATGACATGGCACATGGCTGTAGCCCAACTTTAGTTAAAAGAAACAATAAGGGCCCGTTTGGCAACGTGCCAAACAGTAAAAATTTTCTGTTCTTTTGTTCCCAGAAATAGTTTGGGAACAGAAATGCGTTTGGTAAACTTTTTGTTCTTGGGCACATTTTTGCAAAAATTTGTGCCGAGAAACAGTTTTGGAAGAGAAACAAGAAGTAAAAAAAAGTTGCTTTTTTTTTCTCGGCACAATTTTGAGAATCAGTTTTTTTTCTTCTTTTGCTTTTATTTCTTTTCTTATTTTTGTGTTGTTCTTCCCTGGGCTGGGCCGGCCGCCGGCGACTGACCATAGCCAAAGAAGAAAATGGATAGAAAGAAAAAAAAATTAAATAATTCAAAATATTATTAAAATATTATTTGGGAACAGAAATTTTGTGTAGTTACCAAACGCATTTCTGTTCTTTTCTACTCTAGGAATAGAAATTTTGGTCAGTTTATTAAACGCCTTCAAATACTCAGAAATTGTTTCCGGGCACAGAATAAAAAAAAATCATTTCTGTTCAGAAATAGTTCCCGGGTACAGAATGGTATTCATGCGCACCCTAAATGTCCTACCATATCAATGATAAGAAGACGCATGACAGAGTTACCATGACAGTGAATTTCGCAGTATACGTCTATAGCAATACTTTTTCCCTCTAATTTTGATGTGAACTTCCTTTGATAAAAGTCTGCATTTTTCACTCTGATGAATCTGTAACCTCTATTTTCCATATTTCAATTGCATTAAATGCATGAGTATTTCATGGAAAAGGACCTTTGCCATTGTTTTTGCATTAATAACTCATGGGTCCTTTATCTATGAGCGTTATGGAAAATATGAGATTCCTGTAACTTAATTACTTTTCAATCCACACATGCACAATGTTTATCCTAGAGGTTTATTTTGTGAATGACCATATTCTGGGATAGGAGAGGGTAACTTCAAGTGTGTGATCATATGGTGCTTTAGGACCACTTTCACTGAGCCTATCAGATGCACCTGCATCTAGAAAGAAAGGCTCTCGGTGTTCTCGTGCATTTGCCTTGCTGATCAGGCATACTTTTGTGAGGAACCTGACTATGCAGTTGTGAGCAAAAAGACTGCATTTGGTCAAATTACTCTGTCTCATGATTAATTCGTCTTTGATCCAGGAATTCTTGCATTTGGTCATACATACATACATACATATATACATATATATATGGCTTAAGTCCTGATATAAGGAAGGAAGTATTTACACGCACACGTGCTTTCAGAATGGGCTTTTTAGTTTAAGATTAGAATAGGTCTTTTAGGTTTGGGCCATTTCGTGGATGGGCCGAATTGGGTGATTTGGGCCGAAGGTTTATTTAGTCTTTTATTCCTAACGCGCTGGGCTTGGGTGTTTTTGTGTAATTGTTTTACTTGAATTTTAAGATATTCCGAGTTAGGCCATCACCGAAGCCACCTAGCGGTGGACCCGGGCTGACGCGCCCAGGTCGGCTCCGACCCCTGGTGGGATGTGGAGATCCGACTCGGGTCCGTTTTATATTATATTATTATTTTAATATTAAAAATATTTTTAATAAAAAAATTAAAAATTCGAAATTGGGCTTTGGAATTGCCTTTTCCTGCCCTTTCTGTGTGATTAGTGCTATGTTTGATTGCACATTGCTTAATTGCGCGTTTAATTTAACCCTGTATGTGATTGATTATGTACGTTAGGTTTATGTATTGATTGTTGCTTCTCTTAGCTTGGTTAGGATGGAACTTTGAGACCCATGATTGGTGTGAACATGTTAGGTGATGATTGAACAAAGTTAGATACCGAAAGAGCATTAGTTGGTCAATTAGTGTAATCAAGTCCTTGTACCCATTGAATCTCTGGTTCGTAGAAGTAAAATATTTCTCCCATACTTTACTTGGGTGTCTAATCGACCCACAAAAAACTGATTAGTGGCGACTCCTAGATGAAATTGATTTACATGTTAATAACTTAAACTTAAATTGCGAGTTGGTAGGGGCTTAGGAGGGCCCGAGTTAAGTCCTAGGTTTAGACTTAGCAATTCATTAGCCAAACCCGTCAGGTGGCGAGACCAGTTCGGGGAGGTCGCGATAGCACACACAAATGTTTCTCTTTTGAAGATACGGATACATTCATCAACCAGTGAGTCAACCAATGAATCAATGAATTTCGTTCATAAATCTTAGTCTTATTTTCCTCACTATCAAACCATGTTTACCATACAAACACAGAATCTCATCAAATCTCAGCATGAACATATCAACTACAAATGTTTCTCGGCCAAACTAAATCCAAAGCATACAAGCGTTAACACCCATCAGGATGGATCCAATTTCATTCAGATATTTCTCGGCCTAGTTCAACAATATTCAAACTCAAGCTGGTCGCATATAAACATTGAAAATATGTAATGAATTGAGACCTTCGGAAATATACTTTGGGGTGTGCAATTACCGATGAGGGCAAACAAAGATCAACTACAGCTTCTGTGATAGAAATAGACAAATGAAGCCAGCGAAGAAATTAAACTCAATCAAATGTAGGCTCGGATTGTTCATTAATGCTTTTTGTACGCTATAGAATGATACAAGGCTTATATCCAAGTTCAATTAAGTTGTGACCATAGAGAATGTAACGTGAGAAAGAGCGAGTTGATCTCGATTCGAAAGGAAGAAGAGCAGAGAAGAATTTAAATTCCATCGCTCTCATTGTACGTATGATTAGTGAAATTTTACTCAAAGTAAATCCTCTGGAAGAAATGGCTCTCAGAGTAACTTCTTATTTCTCAAGAAAAGTCTTTCATATTCATGTATTTATTTTTTACTCAAGAAAATACGGAATAAATCGGATTTTTTTTAATCAACGTGTGATCATACAAGTGATTCGAGAAGACGACAGTCCATCCTTTGGAAGAAAATCTTGCCCTGTTTGATGTCGTACCCTACGTTATAGGATTGTTGCGCCAACACTCCAATCATGGATTCGCCATCCATTGCGGGAGTTATCGGAAGGATGGACATGCACAAGACGTCCGACGTTAACTGGAAAAACAGGCTGTTGGTGTCCAAGCTGAGTTGTGCGCCGCCCGAGAATAGCAAGGTGACGACCGGGAATCCTTCCAAATCTCTCTCCACTCTCCCTGAGAAGCACAAGAACCGCGAATGACTCACCTTGTTCAGATGTCCCAACATCAAATTCTCGACCTCGTTTTGCAACGGAACGTACCCTTCTGCCTTCAGGTACGTGAAGGTGGTTCCCGAGTCTATAAGCACTCCTCCACCCGAAGGCCCTCTTTTGAACACCTCGGGGTCAATCTGTAGCTTCTTCTCTCTGACGCTTATACCTTGGAGTTCCACGAAGTAAAAACCCTTGTCAAGCAGCATGGTCGTAGGATCGCCTTCCATGATTGCCCCATCTCCCAAGATGAGATGACTGTCTTGATTCTGGGGGTCGTGTATGTTGCCGATGCAGTAGGAAAATTTGGAGCCTAATTGGCTAACCAGAGTTGGCACATTACCATAACCATAGCTTAGTCCTAATACCCCGCTTTCTTGCGTAGTCACAAAGTTTTTATTTACGTGGCCACATCCGAACACCTCAATGGGTAGCTTTACCGTGCCCTCGTCGGATGTCTCAAAGGTCGCTTGTTCGGAGGCGAGGTTGCCGGCTGTGGAGCTATTGTCAAGATAATACCTCTCATAAACGCAATGCTGAAGTTGAGAATCGCACTTGTTACCAGATTCGAAACATCTAATGGCACCGCAAGGAATATTGGAGTATGTGGATGATTGGGCGGGGTCGAAAAGAGGAAGAGATTGTTTGACACAATCGGTGCAGGGTAGGCACTGAAACCAAAAGAGGTCGCTTCCGGTGTCGATATGCATGAGTTGCGGGGCTGGCGGCGTACCGATGGATATATTGGCGAGGAACCCGTAGGCGCCATTGGCGGGGATAAGAGGGGCGCGAAAGTCGTCTTCATTTGGAATAGCGATTATTTTGCTCAAGGAGCGGACGCGGGCGAGCGAACTGTTAATGGCACGTTCAGCTCGCTCGGAGATGGTGGCCTTTGGATTGTAATATGGAGATCGAATAGAATCATAGTGGATGAGCTTGATGGCTAATCCCCGAGGTTTAACGGGGCTCGTCTGGGAGGAAGCGCCATTAGCCAAAATGATAATGATAATGCAGATAATAAGGAAAAAGAAATAAGACGATGTCATTGTAGTAGCCATCAGCATAATAATCTCGTTTTCTTGGAATGAGTTTTGATGTGCACTTTCCTTCTCTTATATAATGGTACTTCTTGGTGTCGCAATTAATCCATGTATTTTGTTTGTGGCGAAATTTTGGATACGGCCACATTAATTGCCTTATATATTCTCAATTGCAGAAATATGAAATTATCTCCCTAATTAAGCTATATAAAATCTTCGTAGCTCAGTGAGAAAATTTAGAAAGTTGATCTCCTTTTTTCTCTAATTTATTTTTTTTCTTATTCTCAGAGTTGGCCTATTCTAATCGATCTATTCCCCATTTAATCTCCATCAAATAAGCTATTGATCTAATTGTTTTTCTCTCCAGATTGCTCCTAATTAGCAAATACGCACACGACACATTTCAAAGGTTAACCAAAATCAAGTTCAGAATTCTTCTCGCTTTTCATCTTTTTTGTATATTTTGCTTCATTATTGATACGTGCGATTCTTTTTTCTTTTAACGAGTTTTGTTTTATATATATATATATATATCTAACAATTCTCTTGTTCAATTGGATGGCTTGATGAGTAAAGTGTACAGAACTTGGTCTAGCACTCTTTCTTTTGATGCCATTAGTCGTTACAAAGCTTCAGGTTTCTTATTTGTTGGTGATGATGATCTGCGAATCGCAGACTCTTTTGTCTCTGATTTTATGCTTTGTTTAGCTTCAAGTTTTGTGGTTTATTCTGCACAAACAGATTGGATCTTTGGTAGCTGGCAGATTTTCCATGACAGAATGGATCATTTGTTTTTTTTTTGCGATATTTGTACTCGATCCTCGATTTGATGTTTCCTTGTTAGGATGGATGCCTTCGACAAAAAATTTACCTTCATTCCCGTGTTAAAAAGCCAAGCTCCATCGGTGAAATTTGATTGTCTTTGGTGGGTTTACGGGGGAGATATGCTTTCCGATACGAACTTTTGTCGGATTAAAGTACTAAATAGTTTTGAAAAAGAAGAAGAAAAAAAAGTACTAATTAGTTTTGGGTTACCAATCTTCAATTGAGCTACTTACATATATTATTTTTTAGTTTATCAGATTTTGTTATCATTTGCCATATTTATTTGTCTTTTTAACAAATGTCTCAAAATTCATTTACTCTTATATGAACTTACCGCGGGTGAATTCCTTAAAAAATCCCAAACTTTAGATCAAATCCCAAATCTGGCACGAACTTTTTTGTATCTCGGAAAAAATCTTAAACTTTAGGTCTAGTCCCAAATCTGCCATGAATTTTATTTTATGCAACAAAAAATCAGAAAATTTCAATTTATTATTAAAAATATACCCCTGTGATCTAGTCTCAACTGGACATGGCACTTCCACGTCAATAACAAATCCACATCAGCAAAGTAATGGGGCGATAGGTACAGACTGATGCCGCATTTCCACTTCAATAACAAATCAAATCAAATAAAAATTGTTGAAATTCTCCAAAATGAAACCATTCTAGGATATCAAAGTTAGGGACGATAACAAATCCACCCCAAAAAACTTTTTTAATTTAAAAAAATCTAATTTTTAGGTCCAGTCTAAATTTGCTTCAAACTTTTCTTTGTCTAAAACAAAGCCCAATTACTTTGTTGATATGGATTTGTTATTGACGTGGAAGTGCCACATCAAGTTTGGACTGGATACAAGGTATATTTTTTTTAAAATAAATTGAATTTTGGTGAATTTTTTTACACAAAACAAAATTCGGGGCAGATTTGGGACTGGACTTAAAGTTTGGGATTTTTTCTGAAACAAAAAAAGTTCGGTGCGGATTTGGGACTAGACCTAAAGTGTAGGTTTTTTTCTTAGACAAAAAAAAGTTCAGGGCATATTTGGGACTTAACCTAAAATTGAGGGTTTTTTAGGGAATTAGGCCAACTTACCGCTATTTAGTTGTGTGACTTACCAGTTTTTCTCCCATTGGATCACCGTCAAGCTTTCTTTCCTAAACAAACTAATGACAAAAATGAAAAATGTTGCTTAAATTGATGCTATGTTTTTTCCCCCTTTTTGGACCGTAAATACCGATGCTACCTTATCAGATGTCGTATAAGGAGATGGGAATAGTAGCAAAACCAAAGAACAAGAAGGAGATAGACCCATCTTTTCTCTCGCATGATCTTCTTGTTACTCTCGCGCTGTAACAATTCTCCTCTCTTTACTTTGGAACAAGAACATTTGAAATGTCAAAAGTTGTGTATGATACTCACTTTAATGCCAAAAGTTTTGCCAGTTCACTTAAGTGTCAAAAAACGATCACTTAAGTGCCATCGGTAAGAAATTCCGGCTAAATTAATTACGTGACTTTTATAATTAAAATTTTAATCTGAATTGACCTTCTTTTTTTTTTTTTTTTTTGGAAAAATCAGTGCATGTGACATTTCCATACGTATATTTTTTCCTCCTCTACCTCCACGTCCACCCTCCTTCTGAAGTCCAAATTCTACCTTCCCTCTCCTGTTTCCATGGAACCTTTGCCCTCCGCAATCACTCTCCGACCCTTCGAGCTCTCCAACGCTGGTGACTTCCTCTCGTGGGCCGGCGACGACAGAGTCACCCGCTACCTCCGCTAGGCCTCCGTCGCCTCCGTGGAGGCTGCCGAGTCGTATCTCCGGGCCGTCGCCATTCCCCACCTGTGGCGTCCCTCCATCTACATCAGCGACCGCTCCATGAGGTACGTCTCCGTCAAGCTTGGGTCCGGCGAAGAGTGGTGCCGCGCCCGCGTCGGCTCCGTCGTCGGGGCCGAGTTCTGGGGGCGGGGGTTTGCGACAGCCGCACTGAGGATGGCCGCCCGCCGCGTGTTCGACAAAATGCCTAAGTTCTTCCTGTCTGCACATTCTCTCTGCGAGCGTCCATTTCCAGATGGGAACCCAACACACTCCTCCTTCCTTCTTCCTCCTTCTTCCTTCATCCTCTTCTTCTTCATGTTCAGAGAGCCTCTCTGCTTTCCCACAAAATGAGAGGCGTTCACCACCACAATCACCACAACAACATCAACAATCACAACAACAACAGCATCGACACTGTAAACACCGCCGCAACTACGATCGTCGCCGCTGAGGCTCACGCCCAGCCGGTCGCCGTTCAGGTACGTCTCTGCCGAGCTGTACCCCGCGCGCTTGTTTGCGGACGCGTATGTCCCGCGGGCGTGGGTTGATTTGGGTCTTGCGTATTTTTCTCTTTGATTTTTGAGCTCGAGGTTGGTGTGGGAGGAGGAGTCGAGACATGATTTGTGCATTTCTACGTATTCACGGCCTTGCGTTTGTCTATTTAAATTTGCGTTTTCTCCTTGATTCTGAGCTTTCGGTTGGCGTCGAGCGCCTTATCACGTGAATCGAGTCATTAGGTGTGCCTTGATTGTCTTGTTTTGTGAGATTTTTTTGGACGAGCTGTGGTTAGAGATTTCACGTCTGTTTAGATTGGAGCTACGAAGTCGTGAATCGGGAAAGTAAATGGAGGCAGTGTTGTGATTCATCAACACCAAAGGCAGAGGCATTCTTCTTCCTTAGGTCCTGTTTTGTCGCCGAGAAGATTGATCTAGATTTGTAAAGAGACAAAAGGGTCATATGGTCAGGCCGATCTTCTATAGGTTGGATCCTTCTGATTGCGAAAGCAAACTGGCAAAACAGGGGATTATTTAGCCAAACATGAGGACAGGTTTGGGAAAGATACTGAGAGGGTCATGAAATGCAGGAAATCTGTTGAGGATTTGGCTAATTTGGTCGGGTGGCACTTCTCAAAAGGGTACCACTACTTCCTCCCTCTTTAAGTTTGACGGAGTAGGTTGGATACACCTTTTCCTATGCTAGGGGTTTTCTAATTATTTCAGTGTTGAAATTTGCATATACAGTGGCTCCTTTTGAAGTTATCTCCTTGTACTGAAGATTATAATGATTCTCTATCACTACTATACAACCTAATCATGTACAGATTGATGGTAATGTAAATATGACAAGTATATTGACGTAGCAATAAGCTGCAGTTGAATTTTCATTATAAATTTATTTCATGTCTCTTGCTTAAACTTGAAACTAACTAGTTTTCTGTTCTTGGTACAGTGAGACCTTTTCCTTTTCTTTTTTCTAAGCTGATGCAATGGAACTTGCAGGGTTGAATCAAAGCTCATTCGGACAATCGTTGAAGAAGTCTCAAGAAAATTAAATGGCTCCTCTTTGAATGTTGCAACTCACCCGGTTGGCATAGATGACACCCTTAGATGGAATTAATCCAATTCTTGGAATTGGTCTAGACGATGTTCGTATGATTGACTTCTATGGAATTGGAGGCATAGGCAAATCCACTGTTGCCGAGGCCATTTAAAATTAATGTTGGATCGGATTTCCTTTTCCAAGTAATTTTCGAGAACTACTCTGAATGTTGTTGACTGTCCCTGATGCCAAATTGATTCCCTAGGTTCAACCAAATTTTGACGATCAGTGCTCCAACAAGAGCAAAAAATATAGCCACAAAGCGACAGACAAATTTATATGTATGCAAAAACACTAGTAATGGAGCTACGGAGCAGGAAAAAAAAACCAATACCTGAATGCTACTATCATGGCATCCGCAACACAGTTTTCCTTGCATAAGAGACAAGCACTTAACGTATTTGTTTTGATTCAATAATTTTGAACCCCCGTTTTATGAATGAACCTGATAGAGAAAAATGAAAAGAAAAATTACAAGCCAGGATGACGGATCGAGAGTGAGGCGACATTAATGTTATATTTGTGCTGCTGCGTGCCTGGCACTGAAATGATCACTTTTTAAATATGGCTGGTACTGAAGTGATCGCTTTTTAATAACGACTAGCACCGAAGTGATCACTTTAAAATAAAATTGGCACTCAAACGATCACTAATTATAACTTTTAGACGACGTCATTTAGGGGCTATATGCTGACTGGGCATGCCGACGAGTCGCGTAGGACTGAGAAATTAATAAAATATGGCCACGTCAGATTTTCGGCGACCCAAACCGGAGTTGGCACTTAAGTGATCTGAAAAAAATTTTTTGACACTAAAGTGAGCGCCGTCCACAATTTTTGGCACTTCTACTGTCGTTCTCTCCTTTACTTTCATGATTTGTTATGGCACTCTGTTAATAATTGAAGCAGGATTGGGATGTTCTTATTTTGATCAAAGCTTTTCACTTCCATCTTATTTGTATTATTTGCTTTGTTAAAATTATGTCTTGATTTTGAGCAAGAAAAGGAAAGTTTCATAATTTAAGTAAGTTTCCTAATTGAAAAAGGTTTCCTAGTTGGAGAAGGTTTCCTAAAAAGAGGTTTCCTAATTTAAATACAATTCTCACCTATTAATATGAAGGGGATGTTATTTGTGAAGATCATCAAAGAGGAGTTTCTACTAGTGAATTACACTCTGAAGATATCTGAGTATTTGTAGCGATTAAGTCTTGTGGTAAGATTTGTATATAATTCTTTCGTGAGATTGAGAGATTATTTCGTGAGGAATTGAGGCTAAACACTGCCTTAGTTATTGGGTGTAATTGGGACTTGAAAAACACTTAGAGCATTTAAGTGACTTGAGTGTTGTTGTAATCTCCGTTGTATCACTTGATCTATAGTGGAATTCGTTGCTGCTCTCCCCGTGAACGTAGGTCACTACGACTGAACCACGTAAATCTGTTGTCTAATTTATTTTCATGTTATGTCTATTTTATTGTTCGATCGCTTGGCTTCTGTAACAATTAGTATCAGAGCTTGGCTTGGCTGAGTTGAAGCAAATCGATGGCAACTGAATAAGGAAAAGTGAAAATCGATACATTTGATAGGAATGATTTTGGTTTTTAGAAGATGCAGATTGAGGATCATCTATATCAAATGAAACTGCACTTGCCCCTATCTGGGGAGAAGCAAAAAATGATGAAGCAAGCTGATTGGGAATTGCTGAATAGACGAGCTTTGGGTGTCATTCGGCTGACGTTGGCATGTAACGTCGCGTTTAACATCGTGAAAGAGAAGATCATTGCGGGTTTGATGGAAGCCCTGTCGGACATGTACAAGAAGCCCTCTGCGACCAACAAGGTCTATTTGGTACGATGTCTGTTTAACTTGAAGATGAGCGAATGTGCATCAGTTGCTGATCATATCAATGAATTCAATGTGATCGTTAGTCAATTGAATTCAGTTGACATTGACATTGAAGATGAGGTATGTATTTTGATTCTATTATCCTCATTGCTTGATTGTTGGAATATTACTGTTACTGCTGTTAGTAATTCCTCTGGGTCAACAAGTTTGACATTTGATGGGGTTCGAGATTTAATTCTAAGTGAGGACATCCGTAGAAGAGAATACGGTGAACATGTATATGCTGCTTTAATAAGCGAAAATAGAGGAAGAACTGGTACATATTTTAGCAGAAGTGGTATAAATATGAATATACGAAGTCAGTTGAGGACTGGTGGTGCTGTCTATTGGAGTTGTGGCAAGAGGGGGTAACTTAGAAGAGATCGCCTTAAGTTGAAGAACGAGAAGGGTAAAGGAATTAGAGTTGACTCTGCAGATGATGTTGCAGCTATAACATATAGTAATTCGGATAGTACTGATTATGTCTTGTCTGTCATTGATGATTCATCATTTGATGGATGGATTATGGATTCTGGTTGTTCTTTTCACATTATACCAAACATAAACTGGTTTACTACTTATCAGTGCACGGATAATAGTAAAGTGCAGTTGGGGAACAATTCTAAATGTGATATTATAGGAGTTGGTAATGTTAGAATCATAATGTATGATAGTATTGTGTGGACATTGACTGGGGTGAGGCATGTTCTAGAGTTGAAGAAAAATATGATTTCCTTGAGTGCCCTGGATTCAGCTGGGTGTCGGTATTATTTAGAATGTGGAGTTCTGAAAATTATTCGAGGTGCCTTGATGATAATGAGAGGAATCAAGCACAATGGCCTGTATGAGCTTCAAGGTGAAACAGCGACAGAATTCGCTGCGGAAACGTCAGATGCATCTGTTTGAGAGTCTGAATTGTGGCATATGCATTTGGGGCACATTAGCGAGAGAAGCCTGAAGGTTTTAAGTGAAAGAAATTTGCTATGTGGTTATGTGGCTAATGAACTGAATGTATGTAGGTGCTGTGACTTAGATTAACGGCGGAAAGTGTAGTTTAGTACGGCTACTAGAAAAACCACAAATATTGCAAAATTAATTCACTTAGATGTTCGCAGGTTGTGGCGGTTTCCTTCGAGGAAGAGTGCCAGATTTATGCTAATAGTTGTTGATGACTACTCGAGAAAGACTTGGTTGTTTGTGCTTAGGCATAAGTGTGATACTGTTGTTAGGAGCAATCAGTTGAAAGTTTTGATCGAAAAGGAGACTGGTAATACGATCAAGCAGGTGCGGACTGACAATAGCATGGAGTTTTGCTCGGAGCTGTTAAACAAATTCTGCATGAAGGAAGACATAGTGAGACACCGCATTAGTGCTAGTGAATCACAACATGTTGCGGAGTTGATGAGCAGAACATTACTGGAGACTGCCCATAAAATGCTCTCTAATACTGGTATGGCTAAGAGATTCCTGGCGGATGCGCTTAGTATGGAGAGCGACTTGAAGAATAGATCCCCATTGACTGCGATAGGCTGTTGAACTCCCAAAGAAGTGGGGTCAGGTAACGTTACTGATTATTCTATTTTTAGAATATTTGGTTGCCCATGTTATGTTCGAGTGAGTGATGGTAAGCTCGATGGAGGGGCAAGAAAGTGCATGTTCCAAGGTTATGCACAAGGTGAGCGGGATTATCGGTTGTGGTGCTCGAAATTAAATTTATTTGTTATCAGTAAAGAAGTTACATTTGACGAGTCTCCAGTACTTCTAGCTAGGAGTGATTATGGCAGTGCTCATATGGATCTGAACATTGTTCAGCTTGAGGTGGAGTTGCAACCAGAAACTCCTGACGTAGCACGTACTAACAGAGAAATTGACATAGATGGTGCTTGTAGCGAGGTGAAGCCTATTGAGCCAATAGTTGTTGTAACTGCTGATATTGACATTGTGCGTATTCGATCTCCTGACAGATATGGATGCAATGATGGTTTTGTTTTATCTGCGGTTGAGAAAGTTATGTCGGAAAATCCTTGTGGAGTGGTTAAAGGTGCAAGTAAAGTTGGTATTTTGATGAGGTCCGTGGTTATAGTGAAGTTCAAGCGTAGCTTGGACTTGAAAGACGTCTGTGGTAGTTGAGCCCATTGAGGCAATGGGAGAGTAGTAACGAAATTTGGATTCTATCAAAGCGATTATGACTTGGCTCAAACGTCGAGCCAATGTGGAGATTGTTAAAAATATATCTTGATTTTGAGCCCAAAAAAGAAAGTTTCCTAATTTAAGTAGGTTTCCTAATTGAATGATTTTCTAGTTGGAGAAGGTTTCAAAGGTTTCCTAATTTGGATCAAATTCTTGCCTATAAATAAGAAGGGGATGTTAGTTGTGAAGATCATCAAAGAGGAGCTTCTGCTAGTGAATTACACGCTGTAGATATCCGAGTGTTTGTAGCGATTAAGACTTGTAGTAAGATTTATGTATAATTCATTCGTGAGATTGAAAGATTATTTCGTGAGGAATTGAGGCTAAACATTGCTTGAGTTATTGGGTGTAATTGGGGCTTGGGAAACACTTAGAGCGTTTAAGTGACTCGAGTGTCGTTGTAATCTCCGTTGTATCGCTTGATTTATAGTTAAATTCGTTACTGCTCTTCCTGTGAACGTAGGTCACTACGACCGAACCACGTAAATCTGTTGTCCGATTTATTTTCGTATTCTGTCTATTTTATTCTTCGATCGCTTGCTTTCGCAACATGCTTCATTATTGTTACACGCGGTTCTTTCCTCTTGTGACGGGCTTGTTCTATTTTTAATTCTCTTGCTTAATTGGATGGTTTGATTAGTAAAATGTACATAATTGGTGCTACACACTGTCTTTTGATGCCATTAGTCGTTAATAAGCTCCGGGTTTCTTATTAGTTGGTGATGATGATTTGTGAATTGCAGGCTTTTTCGTCTGTGATTTATGCTTTGGTTAGCTTCAAGTTTTGTGGTTTATTCTGGAAAAAAGGACACTATAAATGCCATAACTTGTGTACGGCGCTCACTTTAGTGCCAAAAGTTTTCGCCGGCTCACTTAAGTGCCAAATCGGAGGAAAAACGATCACTTAAGTGCCAAAAGTTTTTTTTGGATCACTTCAGTGTTAAAATTTTTGAAAAACGATTACTTAAGTGCTAAATTTTTTGAAAAACGATCACTTAAGTGCTAAAATTTTTGAAAAACGATCACTTAAGTGCCAATCTCCGGCGAGCCATGTCAACTTCAAAAATAAATAAAAAAAATGCCACGT